CTTCCGGCGGCGGGTCGCCGCGCTTCGACTACGGCGATGTGCTCCGCGACGTCATCATCGGCTTCTCGGACGGGGTGACGGTCCCCTTTGCGCTGACGGCCGGGCTGTCCAGCCTGGGCAGCACCAAGCTCGTCATCATGGGCGGCCTGGCGGAGCTCTTCTCGGGCATGGTGTCCATGGGCCTGGGCGCGTACCTGGCGGCCGTGACGGAGCGCGACACGTACGCCTCGCAGGAGCAGCGCGCGGCCTGCCTGCCCGCCGAGCAGCGCGCCGAGGTGCACAGCATCCTCGAGCGCTACGGCGTCTCGCGCGCCGCCGCCGCGCCCCTCGTCGACGAGCTCTGCGCAGACGAGCGCCAGTGGCTGCGCTTCAAGATGGACTTTGACCTGCGCGTGGAGCAGCCCGCCGCCCACCGCGCCTGGGTCTCGGGCCTCACCATGGGCCTGAGCTACTTTGTCGGCGGCCTGATCCCCATGATTCCCTACTTCTTGCTCGACAACATCCGCGAGGCCCTCGTCGTCAGCGTCGCCGTCACGGTTGTCATACTGCTGGGCTTCGGCTACGTCAAGAACTACGTCGCCATTCGCAACCACCGCGCCGGTGCCTGGGGCGCCCTGCAGACCTTGGTCATTGGCGTCCTGGCCGCCGGCACGAGCTACGTCATTGTCAAGAGTTTGGATAGAGGCGAGACGTGAGGGCTTGCCTGGTTGTGGGAAAAGGGATTGGTTTTTTTTCTCTTTTGTTTTTGCTGTAGACTGCATTGCGTGGCGTTGGGTGGGAAATTAATGAAATCATGACTTGTCCGCTCACCGGTAATTGCTGGGTAGAATTGACTCGATAGTTCTTCAACTCATGACACCACTTGTAATTCATAAAAACCATCTCGTCTCATGCCCTGGACGTGAATGGATTCCACAGCCGTTCTTGTATCCTGTAGGCGGTGCCTGTGCTCCTTTCCGCAACCGTCTTGTTAATAGCTTGCCGGGGTAGTCCCACCTTGATGTTTGATGATGCACCTTGACAGCCTGCAGCAGAATATACTTGCGCACCGCCAAGTATAACCACTACACTACCGTACATCATGCTACAGAGCGCAGATAGCCGGAGAACTTTGTAGTTGAAATACGACTTACCCCGCTGTATTTCCAGAAAAGACCACGATAACGAGCAAGTTGCCCTAGGGATAGGCAAAACATCTTTACCCATTCCCTAGGTGTAATTACCGGTCACCTTGACGCAGATCCATCCAAGACAGTTAGCTCGTGGAGACACCCGACATGCTTCTCCAGGAATTACCCACGTCTTAAAAAGTCGCGGGGGGTCATGGCGTACCAATCACGGCAGTAAGGAGTGCTGTGTTGCTCGTGGCCAAGTAGATGGCATTCACTGCCATTGGGCACCTCTGAGTATTCAATGGAGGGCAACACACTTCTAAAGTGAGATAGACTTGCTAAAGAAAAAAAAAGGTGTCACAGTCTTGCACAGACTACATGGATACAACGTAATCAATATACCGCTTCGTTAGACCCGCTTGTAGACCCGAGACCGCTCTGGTCAACAAAGTCTTCCAAGCACCACCTGCCAACCTAAGGTGCCTAGTATGACATACAAATAGAAGTACAAACATGGTCTATGGTCGCTGTTGTGTGTCTTGCCAATATAGTACACACACAAAAAAATCAAAACTCAGTCGAGCGCAAAACAAATCGACTTTGGTGCCCCCTAGGGAATGCAAAAATCAATCCAGCTACCCAGATAATCCAGCCTATTCCCCAAGTCCTCCTGACTCTTGTAAATGTCTTCAAACTCCTGGAAGCTCAGACGCCCCCAGCCGCCACGTTTAACAGCCTCTGCCTCAGCAATGGTGAGACGCTTCCAGCTGCGGAGGGTGGCGGCATCTGGCTCTTCTTGGCGTGGTTGATGAGACGACGATCGCGGGACGTGTACAAGTTCAGATGCCCGTTGTTTGGCAGCCAGCTCATCCGCTTCTGCGACATTGTTTGGGCGGAACTGCGGCAACGTTGGGTCTCGGTATTCTGCGGGCTCGTCGTCTGTGTTGAATTCTGCACCATCTACCTGCTCCTCGTGGATAATTTCCACCGAACTGTCCAACTCTACCGCATTACGGGGCTCATCAGGGACTATTGTGTATCCCGTATCTGCCAGGAGCTCATCCAGCGACTTCTCCGAAATAAGCTTGCCAGTGGGGTGCGACTCGGGCCCGGGCTGGTTTGACGGAGCCTGGGGTTCGGATTCCGGGAGATCAATGGCATCAATCTGCGCCTTGTACTTTTCCCGGTCTTTTGCGGATTCTGCTGCCGCAACGGCCATGTCTTCTGCCTTCTTGAATATAGTGTCAAGAAGCTCATTAAATGCCTGTTGGGTTACTTGATAGAGGATTTCTTTGCCGGCATCCCTTTCGGCGTCTGGAATATCCATGCCGCCCCACCGTTCAGGTACGCTCCTCGACGACGTGGACGGGTTGGATCGAATCTCATAGTCATCTGTATCCTCGGCAAATCGAACCTTGGAGCTAGAGCGGGATCTAGTTGTCATGGGTGGTGGATCCCCGGCCTTGGAGTCCTCTGTTGCCAGGGTGACTCGCGCAAGAATGTCCTCTTCGGCATCCCAATCATCCGGTGCAATTCCACCCTCTTCCTCGTCCAGGTAAAACTGCCGCCTCTTCCACCGGTCGTGGAGATGCTTCCGTGCCATGTCTCGACGCTGCCTCTCCAACTTGGGCGCCAGCTTGCGACTTCGCGCAATAGCTCGAGCCCGCGACTCGCTGTAGGTACGGCCAGATTCACCAGTTTGCACATCCCCATCATCCTCGTCTTCATCGCCATCATCGTCACCGTCGGCATCCACATCCTCGTCCTCATTGTTATTGAAGACATGGGGGATATCGTCCAATGTGGTTGGAGGATCAAGTAGCGATGACCAATATGCTCTGTCCAGGTCACCACCACTCACACGCCGCACCGTCCGCCAGTTAGTGTCGGTGTCGCTGCGCGAGACGAACCCACGGTGAGGTCGTGTGTCTGTGTCGTATGCAAATAGGCTGGCCAAGATGTCTTCTCTGGAGGCCGTATCGCCCCGGTTTTCAATAACTACACTACTGAACCCATCTGCCACTTCGATGCTGCCATCTCTGCGATTGGTTTTGCCCTCAATTCTGAAGCCTGAATCGGCCGAGGGGATTCTGCCCTCCCTGCCGAAAAGACTGCTAAGTGGCTGTCGACTGGACACTAGTTGCTGGGCCTCGGTGCTGGCAAGGAGCTGGTCGTCAAGTCCGTCCAGGATATCTTTGTGCATCTGCTTGTATAGCACATAGTAGGCTCTGAACATTCTGAGAAAGTCGCGTCGGTTCACATAGCCATCCCCGTCAATATCGTACCCCTCAAACACTCTTCTGAGCTTATCTCTGCGTTTTCTGTACGACAAGCCGTGGAGAAACTCGGAAAACCCGATCAAACCGTCCTTGTTGGAGTCGTAGAAGGAAAACATGCGATCATGGATTAGATTCGGCGCTGCATGTCGTGATCCGCCTGTAGGCACCAGACATCGCTCAAACGTCTTACGATCCATGGCAACACACAGTTCCTCGGGATCATCGCGCCAATCCGTATTGGCCATGTAGGTCCACTGCTCCCAGAAGGCTTCCAGCTCGGGTCGTTCAAATCCAGTGTCCCTCGACAGGCGTGCAATCAGCCCCTTTGGAATATTGCGGCGGCACGTGTCGGGGTCGCCGGTGTACCAGACGGGCTGCATCTGCCTGGGCCCAAAGGGCGGTGCAGGAACCTTGATCTTGTAGAATATATGCGTCTTGTTGTGCACGCCTTGGGACTCGCATGTCTCGCAGAGATCAAAGTCGGCACAGTTGGCGCATCGATAGCGTACTCCGCGTATAGGTACCATGCCGCATGAATTACACTGGCATCCCCTGTGAACACATCCGTTACGCCGGGCGTTATCCTCAGACACCCTAAAGAGGAGCGAGACGATGGTGTGTCCAGCTCGCGGAGAGAGTGGAACGCTATTGGCGGGAGGCTCATTCCACCAGTCGTCGCCGCCGGTATCGACGTCGACGACGGTTTCGGCATCCCCAGGGACCCTCAGGTTTGTGACCTCTGTGTTTTCGTCGCCAGGAGCCTCAGACGACGAGTGTGAGCTCCATTCGTTGGTCGCGCGGCGGGGACGTCGTATGGCGTTACTCCGATGCAGGCCACCGCCGGTCGGGGTCCCTCGCAAAGGTTCATTCTGACGGGATCTATATGCATAGTACCCTATCGAAGCTGCGGCTACTACCGAAACAACGGCCACAGCTATCCGCGGCCGCGTGAGGGAGTCGGCCGAAGGAGTTGAAGGCCACATGACTACCTTGCGAGCATGATTTTGGTGGTGATGGGGGGGTGGCCAGGCGGCTGCTGCTAGCGGGGCGTACTGACCGTGGGGTGTTCTAAAAGACTACTGTTGTTTGATAAAGTAGGCCGTATCCGACGCCGAGATGTAGGCAATGCCGGGTTGGATGGTAATTGAAGTTGTTGATGTGGATGTTGAGAACTGCAAGTTGGCCAGCAACAAGGCTACAAGTGCAGGCGTACGGAGCAGTTACATGTTCGTTTGTGGGTCCCTCAATCGTGGCTCCACGCGTGGAAAGAGCAGGCGGCAGTCGGCAAACAAGGTGGGGCACCCAAACTCCCAGGCCATCTCTATGATGCGTTTCCAAGAGCCCATCAGCCGATGGCTACCGGCACCGAAAACCTGCGATATACATCTCATTCTCCCATCACCACAGCCAACATGGGGGATAGAATACCACCACCGATGCCAGGGCAACTGCCCTCGTCATTCGACGACAACGAGTGCGCCGTGATATCCCAATGCATCCCCCCCCCCTTCCGAATCACCGTGCTCACGCGACTACAGAGAATTCTTCAACGAGAGGCCAATGCAGAAAGTCGTCCGCAAGCTCAAGGAAGAGCCGCTCGTACCCCTCGGTCTGCCAACTTCAATGCGCCCCAAACTCCTCCAATTAACTCGCGGCTGACTCTTCCCCAGGCATCGGTCTCACCGTCTTCGCTTTCGTGAATGCCTACCGCGCCCTCCGCCGTGGCGACTCCCGCCAAGCCAACAAGATGTTCCGCGCGCGGGTCGCCGCGCAGGGCTTCACCGTCATTGCCATGGTCGCCGGAAGCATGTACTACAGTCAAGACCGACAAAAGACAAAGGAATTGCGAAAGCTCAAGGAGGAGCGGGACGCAGAGGAGAAGCGACAGAAGTGGATCAAGGAGCTCGAGGCCAGAGACGAGGAGGAGAAGATGATCAAGGCTAGTATGGAGAAGAGGAGGCAGAAGCTGGAGGCTGCGGATACTGCGGCCAACAATGGTGAGGAGGGGGCAGGCACGGGTGGTATTTTGGGCAAGATGGGGTTGTGGTCCAAGGGGCAGGAGGCTGCCGAGGCCGAGCGGGAGGTGAAGAAAGAGACGACGAAGAGTGAGAATCCAAAGAGCTCGTTGGGGGCGATTAGCGAGGTTTTGGTCAAGCAGAAGGGCGATGAAGGAAAGAAGTGATGGTTGCGAAATCATTGGAAAGTGTATGTTGAGGCATAATCGGCGGCATGGCTTTAGCGGGATGTACGAAATGTTACAGAATCGGGGCTCTACCCAACTGTACACGTACAATGGATGTCGAA